ATCCCGTTTTGCAAAGACTTTAGAGCCCCTACGATCGTGGGAGCAGCGGGCCGTAGGCCCGCAGATCGTCAGTGCCCAAAAGTAACGAATTCTGACCTATGTCTTGAAACAAGGCTTGTAGCTATCACAGAGTGGGAGCTGACAACACCCTCCCCAGAGAGAGAAAATGCATCAGCGCAGTTCCCGAAGAAAAGAAGAAGAAGCCACACGAAATCGCTTTGTTGGAGGGTTTCGAGGAAAATATAAGAGACAAGAAGGTAACAGAACATTTCAGATGGACTTTTGGGTCCCTTCAAGTCCCCTTCAAGTCCCTTCAAGCCTCCCTTCAAGTCTCCCTGCAAGTCTCCCTTCCAGTCTCTCTTAAAGGAGTTACCCTTAAGCCCCCCTTGAAAGCTCCCCGAGAAGCTCCCTAAACCCTTGAAGGGAAGCTTAAGGAGGGCTTACGGGTCCTCCCTCTTAGGGCTTGAAGGGGAAGCTCAAGCTCCTTTCGCAATGGAGTCCACAGCAAAATCCACATGGCGAATTTCTTGAGAGAAGCAAAGCATTTTTTTTTGTTTAATTGCCGTTGCTTGTGTTTTAATTTATTTTCATCGCTTTCAAACCCGTTTTCTCTTGTTGTTGTCTGGAGAAGCAGGACATCATTTATTCATCGCTTTTGCACCTTACAAAGCGATTTCGTGGCTTTCTTCTTGTTGTGTTAAAAAGACGTTTTTTCATTCTTGTTGTCTGTTGGAGAAGTCGTTTTTACATTGTATTCAATTTTCTTCGCTTAGGTTGGAGAGAGCACAGCTTCTCGCATTTGCAATCGTCCTCGCTTTGTCTTCCTTGAAGAGCGGCCATCTTGCTTCTCTCAAAGAAGTTCCTTCTCAAGGGGCTTGAAAAGAGCTCCCTTTAGAAGCCCCTCCTTCTCGAGTCCCGCCTTTGAGAAGTTCTAAGGGGGCTTGAAAAGGAGCTTGAAGCTCTCTTCGAGAATTGGGAGATCCCTCTTCTCAAGCCCCTCTGTCCCTTCTCAAGTCCCCCTTCAAGTTTTCGTTTGCGACAAACCGAACAAAGACTTCTAAAAATGTCCAGTCCATTGCGTTTAATTGGTGTCCGCGCGTTTGATCATTCTCATGGGTTAGAATAACAACTCATCTGGTACCACTCGCCTCATCGCTGCGAGACATGCTCCATCATAATTCGGCGAAGGGGAACTTGAGAAGAGGGTCTTCTCGGCTTTGAGAAGCTCTCGGCGGGGAGGCGAAGGCTGAAGGTTGAAGGGTTCAAGGGGAGCTTGAAGGGGGTTTAAGAAGGGGAAGCTTCTCAAAGGGGCTTTAAGGGGACTTCTCAAGGGGAAATGACAGAAAGAGCGCATTTTGATTCTTTTGTTTCAGAAGCTGTGTGCACGTTGTTCCATACACAACATGCAATCCGCAGTTGTGAGGTTTTCTTTTGAAAAAGTTGAACCAGGTTCGGAACTCATCTCCCAGATTCACCAGGTTGAATAACTTATGGTGTCTGCTGAGACGAGCAAACCATACCCAACAAGAAACCAGCGGGACATTTTTTTGGCATATGTGGGCCTCAGTGACAGCAACTGCTGCGCTCGATCCGAAAGCAAAGCTCAGAAATCAAGAATGCCAATCTTCAAGAAAACTACACAAGGGTGAAAGCTTCAAAAAGCTAACTTAAAAGAGTTGGCAAAAATCGCAGCAAGAAGCCAGCTTGGACAGCTTCTAACCTGTGCTGACATCAGAAAATTCTTCTCATTTGCAAAGTTTTGAAATGAAGAAAAAGGAAGACCATATGAGTTGCTGGATTGAAAACGAAGAAAAATCGAGGAAGAAAGAAAAAAGCCACTTTTTTGTCCAACGTGCGACTGCTGCAATCTCGCGCTTGACATCCGTGGTTTCTGCTTTTGTCGAGGTTGTGCAAGAATACCAGTGCAACATGTCATCATCACATCGATGTGCATTGCATATTTTTGACATGCCGTGGCCGAGCCAGGAGTGGGAGTTGAACTTGCGTTGCCATCAAGTTGTTTTCAACACGGATTGGACACTGCGTGATATTGCGCAAGGAATCAACGGCTCTCGTGAATTCTGATGGGGCATCGCGTTCGAAACAATCAAGGCTGTCATCGACTTTTGGCGTGTCGATTTTTGCCGTTCGTGACCTTCGCAGATGCTAGCATGATCCATTCGGCAGTTCGATCTAAATTGCAGACAACCCCGATTGGCAGCTTTTCCATCAAGAGCGGTGGGAAGCCAGTCTCTTACCAACCCCCAACGAAGTCGACAGCTTGGCGGGGGTTGAAAGACTTGTTTTTGTGCGCGAGCTTTGCTGCAACCTGGCATACATGCAATTGGATTTTCTTCTGTTGCTCAGGTCAATGGCAGCTGCAAACATGCGCATCTTCGTGGTGTGCGTTTGCTGCTTATTGGGATTGTGTCACCATGAGATTTCCATGTGCTGGGCTTGAGTGCGCATCTGTGATACCCCTGCACTTTTGGCTGTTGCGATGTTCGTTGCCACAAACATGTTCCACAACCCGAGCGTTGCAGGCTTAGTCATCATGTGCTCAGGTTGCACTGCTGTTCGGACCGGGATATGCCACGAAGACGAGCACCGCTGTGGCAGCAAATCCTATCAGGCATCGTTGTTGGATGGTGAATGAAGCTTGAAGTTTCTGGTTGCTTCAGTCTTGTTCATAGTTCTTTATAGGGTTGAGATTCGGCAAAGGCTGGACACATGCTTTAGTCCTGCATGAGCACCCGCACCATCAGGAAGGTCGTGACCATGATGCAGAAGATGCCCGTGGCTTACGGGGCCTCTTTAGAGTCCAGATCGGTAGACGGTGTGACACAATGTTTGTACCGAGGTCAGAAAAGATCGAGCAAGAGGGAGAGTCTGGGAAAGATCTTTATGCCTTCCTTGCTGGATTAGCCAGCGCAAAATCGACCTTATGCAAGTTTGTTGCGCCAGTAGACCAGAGCGTTGCTGCACCACAACCTCTGTGAAATTGTATTCGAGCGTGACGGTTTTGAAGGAGGCATTGCACAAGCCCACCGTGCCAGGACAAGTTCATGTGCCACTGCAAGTCTGAGCTGGAAGATTTCAACAAGGACCGTGAACCTCAATAGTAGGCTCAAGCTTGAGAGTGTGCTTCAGGGGCCCGCGGCACAGCTTCCTCAAATACTTGAGGTCGAGAGGATGAGCTAATCAAACCTGTGTGTATCGACATTGCAACAGCATAGCAGCAGGGTCACAAAGATTATTGGATCGTGATTGGAATGAGCCGGGGATCCAGCCAGGTTGCTGTCAAACTCAAACTGCTTGCGACATGGCTGCCGTGTATGACAGGGGAAGGCTGAGTTTGAAGCCGCTCGGAGCCCGTGCTGTCAGCTACGGGTCTCATGTGTACATGCCGACTCTCCTACCTACAGCCTTTCTCCAAAACAGCTGGCTGCTCAACTATTTTGAAGTCTCTAAGGCCGTGCCGAAGCTCGAGTCCGACATCAGCACTGCCTGCTACCTACAGCTACCGTGGCCAATCCATGTAAATCTGATGAGTGCCCCATGCTGTCCAAGGCTGAAGCACAGATTTCGCAGCTGAGCCAGGAGATTGAGGTGCCGGTCAACGTGAAGTGTAGGTCAGTGTAGGTGACGCTTGCTCATGTTTCAAGCCACAGGCGCAGCGGGCCGACGAAGAAGCCACAGTGGACAGCATGAAGCGTGCTGGGGTTGAGCGTGAGAAGGAGACTATGCAGGGTGTGCTGACGTTACTCACAGGGAGGGCGACCTTTCTGCAGGAGCACACCGTCTACGTTGATGAGGTGACCGAGTTGAAGGCGAGGCTTCCCGCTTTGTCGGGTAGTGGCGAGTGCTGGGATAGGACACTTGCTCACTCGGTGCTCTCGGTGCAGGGTGACATCGGTGCGATCGATCAAGCCATCCCCGCGCTGGACGAGGACGGCCTGTTGTCTGCGAAGACGACAAATTCACGAACCTCACCGATCCTTCTGCCGTGTGACAGCTGCGGTCTTTTGCTGCATTCTTGTCTGCATGTTGATGTACGTCAAAGAAGCAGAGCTCAGTGCAGGATCGGGGTTTGTTCATGCACCACTGAAAGAAGCGTGGCTTCCTGAAATCCCTTTCAAGCCGTGCGCTGTTGAGGCTAACCAGGGTGCTTTTGTCCAGACTGGCCACCTTGCGGGTCTTTCGAAGAAGCAGGTGCCTCTCCGAGGAGCTCATGCTTCCCCCATTGCCCGGTAGGAGAACTTCTTGATTGAAAGCTGAATATCGCCGCAGTGACCAACAGCGAACTGTAGAGGTCGACAGGCTTCAGCACGTGGTGTCGAAGAGCAAGAGCGCCAGAGACACAGTCCGTGGTGAGCTGCTGACATAAATGACGAAAGTAGCCACTGCAAAACTCCAGGTTGTTGCGCTATGCAGCAAAGTGCAGCCTTGCTTTGCGTGCTTTGCTTTGTTGGTTATGCCAGTTATCACCCCTTTTGACCCGGACGTCATGTTCAAATCTGATTTGCTCTTGCGGGCACCGAGGTCACCGAGAGCGATCGGCAGGTGCTGACTTCCTTCCTCGAGGGCAAGGTCGAGGTGCCCGTGTCTCGTTGAGAAGGTGTACGTGCCCGAGACTGAAGTGGCAGGCTCAGGGCATCGGCGAGGTGAAGGGTATGCTGGAAGTGTGCCACCGACTGCTTTTTTATCGGCCCGGGGCGTTGACTGGTAAAAACTACTTCGTGCCAAATTGAAATCAAAGATCGAAGGACTGTGATTGCTGACGGCCTCTGCGGATGAAGTAAAGATGTAAGTTGATGCGTTTCTTCTGTATTCTCAGCCTGCAGTGGTGTATTGCCAGGCAGCGAGGGGAGATGGCGAAGGAAGTCGTCGTCGATGACAAGGAGGAGGTTAAAGACGTCAACATCTTCGAGGCAGGGTTCTGGCCGGCAAAGCTTCATATGTTCAAAGACATTACTGAGACGCTACTGTTGATGCCGCTGCGATGATGAGGTGGTTACTTGCAGTGGTTCGCAATGTTGTTGATAAAAGAAACAAGGTTTCAAGAGGACGAGGCTGCTCATGAGAGTGGCACAAGAGATGATGACGATGAAATCCATGACGATGAGAGTACTCTGTACATGAAGGCTGTGACATCGTTTTGAAGATCATAAGGCTGACAGTAGTGATGAGCTTGAATCG